TGCCTTACTAGTAGGAACAAGAAGCTACTAGTAACAAGTGCCACGCTTCTAGTCTGTCCTATTATATATCAAAACAGGTGAACAATGTACAGTCAGTAAGCAATTATATACCTGTACAGTCAGGTGAACACTGTGTTTATATACCTGGACAGTCAATAAACAAATATTACTATTTTTGAACAAGGCCTTTACTAACCATTATCATCCACTGTTACAGGTATTAGGATAGACCCAAGATGTGTTCATTTGTTCGATCCAGTTGTTGTTTGACGGGTGTTTTTGTTAGGAGGAAAAAGGTTTCAAAGGTTTTTGGGGGTGTCTTTTTTTGGAAGTGAAAAGATGGGCATCCCAGCATCCCATTTACGAAAAGGATGCCCTGGTCTATGAAAGATACATTGTGTGAAGAGGTAGATCAAATGTGGCGCCAGTGCCTTTGGGTCCGTACTCTTTTACTTTCCAGAGCATTCTGCAGCGCCTGTGCTCGTATGACCCGGGCCTAGCAATTACGAGTGAAGCACGAAGGCTGCCATTTGTGGTGGCGTCTTCTTGCAGATGACGCCATTCATGTGGCCGGGTGGCTCAGATCGGCCGAAAGATGGCCCAGAGGGATCCAACTAGGAGCAAGGACGCTACTAGGAGCAAAGAAGCTATTAGTAAAAGGGCATCGGGTGAAGCGAACAAACTCCACTTGACTCACATGTTTCGAATCTTCATGTCCCTCACATCACGTCCATTGAGAGACTCAACGACTTATGTATAGTGAAGCTACCAAGTGCCAAGGACTCCCATGGTAGTCCATGTCAACTTCATCATGCTACTGCAACCGCATGCATCCGCTTGGAGTTGAACGCGAGGCCAAGATTTAATGCCTACATGAACCCAAATGGTCGCTGCTTCTCGTTCGACCAGGCCCAAAATGTCCGCATGAGTTCATTCGGGTGTGGTATTTAGTTGGGGTCGACGAAAACCAAACTGATGGAAACGATTGAGAGACGAATAAAAAGATAGAAAAAGTAGCTTGTACTTGCAAGGAACATCAGTAAACAGAAAAAGAGAAATGAAAGAAACATGACAATGCAAATTGAATGAAGATGAATGCGTAATTTGAGGACTGACAGAAGACTTTACATCCGAGCTGCAAAAACTCCAATGCTACTCAGCTCAACTGGCCCAGTGCGCAAACTACTTACAAGATTATAAAAGCATGATCCTTCTTTGGAACCAAACGTTTGAAGCACGTTTGCTCTGTGTTTTCTGTGTTGTTCTTGTGTCAAGCCGCTCCCAGTGTTCCAACGGCTACGTGCGGGGCGAATGCTGCGCCAGCGCCGGGCGCCTGAAGACTCGCTTCGGGCAAAACAATTCGATTTAGAACATGTTGCACTGTTAAAAGAACTTTATAATTAATGTGTAGACTTGTATCACGCAATATCTCCATCAATGATGTTGCTTAGTTTTGGCGGAAGGCATGTGGATGGAACAAATAGAACAACTCTGTCAGATCCGGCCGTGTGGCCAGTTGCTCGGCCCTCTAAGGCCGCCTTGAAGCCCTATGCGGAGAAAGTCTCTGGTGAGCTCTCCGTCATCGAGGGACCCTGCATCGGTCAGGGAACCCACCGGGTGGCACGGACGGGTGAGGCACTCCATCCATTCAGTCCACTGGTGGCCAGTCATCTGACATCACCCCATGTATGTTGACCAGTGGAGCTGATGAAGTGGTAGCCTCCCAGCGTCGGCTTCAAAGCTATGGCATCAGAGGGAGGGGTACATGTGGGGTCTCCTAGTTCTTGTTTTGGATGTCTTGGATGCAAAAAGAATACATTTTTGACATCATCTCACCCGCCGTCATTTGTTTCCTCTCACACAACGAGCCGTGAAAGAAGTTGTTCCTCTCCGAGGCACCATGGTGGGTTGGCGCATGACCAACAACGGCCGCTCGGCCGGGCTTCACGCACCCAGTGGACCCGCGGAACAAGAGGCCCGACGACGACGGCCGTTTCGGAGACGCTCAAGTGACGCGTGCGACGTGTGCGGCGGAACGACGCACGGAGACGTTGACAAGTGATTCGTCCCCTTTTGGAGGGGTTGATGTCGATGTGTTTGGGTTTTTTGGGAAAGATGCCGCCAAATATGAAAACGTGCTCCACCGGGATGTTCCCTTTGGCTGCGAAGAGTAGCCAAAGAATAGAAGCTTCAAAACATTGCACTGGAAGACTTTCCCCTGGAGTCTTCAAGCTGGAGGTTGTTTATCGAAAGCTTGAAGACCTCCAACCCAGCACTGGTCGCCTTCCGTCTCTCGTCTCGTCTCTCGTCGCAAGGCCATTGCCGATGCCATTCGCCACGCGGGGATTTCACCCTTGGACTTAGACGCCATGGAGCGCTTCGGCTGCACCGAGAGTTAGCCAGGAGCACTGGAAGGACGAAGACAAAGGGGTCGAAGTGGTTGGAACACGCGATCTGCGTGGAACGATGTCGAAGGCAAAAACATAAGAATACATGGAAAAAAGGGAATGTAAAGCAAAACAAGAACAGCTGTTAGATGCTATTAGTAGCTATTAGCTATAATTTCATGTTGGTTTGCCCAGTTGTTGCTGTCGAGATTCTTGACAGGTGCCACGCAGCAGGCTCCTTGCTCTCAGATGGAGTCGAGGCGCGGGTGGCGGATGGCAGGGCTCAAACCGCTTTGGCACCGACCGGGTTCTGCCCAGTAACAAGTGCCTTACTAGTAGTAACAAGAAGCTATTAGTAACTAACTGCCTTACTAGATCCTTACTAGAAGCTACTAGTAACAAGTGCCTTACAAGTGCCTTAATTAGGAACAAGTGCATCTCTGCCGATCGATCAGGTCGTTTCCGCGACCACCGTGTGCCGCGGCATTGAAGGCGCAGCGATCCGACAGAATCCGGAGCTCCCGTCGTCGATGCAAACAAAGGCCTTGATGGTCCCATCAATCGGCAAACTGCTGTTCATGAATCCTCGGTGGGTCCATTTTCCGCATTCAATGATAAACTACAAAACGGGGGTAACATGCCGGGATCTACTGTAAATGTCCCTTTAATTTGGGTATGAGATCTCTCTATGGAGATGTTGTCATCCAGTTGACCATGCACAAGCTGGTTTGAGGCGGTGACAGAGAGATGCTCATCCTTGGTAGTGTAAAGACCAATGCCGGCGACTCGGAGCTACGCAAGTCTTGAGTTGCTGAGAATTGCCATCAAAGCATTCAAAAGCCCAATGGACGAGCAATCAGATTTCTCTTTGGTCTGAGGTTGGTGTGCAACAAGAAGCCTGTGGAATCTCATCCTTCCTCAAGGCCAAAGTTTTTCTCCGAGCTCCATTTTTGGGTTGCCAGGAAAAGAAAAGAATATACATGTCCCGACGGCATAGCAGTGATGGGTAACTTCAGACCAGCTTAGACCTGCGATTTTGTGAGTGCTGACCGTGGGAAGGTGCTGTACAACATTAGCTACGCCAACAATGCCTGCCTCCTAGTCATGTGAGAAGGCTGAACGATGAAGCCACCCTGCCTTGCGCCTGTTGGACGCAAGTCTTTCAACGGACAGACTCGCAAAGGCAAACAGAAAGAGTGAGAGCATGTAATTGTGGGTGTGATGTTTGTTCAGATATGAGACTTTTGACTTTGTCAGCAGACCCTCTAGAATGATGAAACCACCTTCAGGCTCCCAGCAATTTCAGAAGCCATTTTGCCTCCAGCCTTGACCACTCGACCAATCAATGGCTTTGCCCAACTTGACCGTCGGCATTTGAGGCGCCAACGCTGCATTTGAAGCAGTTGAATCCGCACATCGAGTCGGGGCGCCCGGTCGGGCCTCGCTCATCCGGTCGTATCCTTCGTGTACATTCAATGTGCACATTGAAGGACAAACGTATCTGGCAAAAAAGCCAGGTGTTCCAACTCCCCTCTCCACCCTCGACTCCTCCGCTTTCCAACTCCACTCTCCACACCTCCTTGGCGGCGACCCAAACCGCTTTCCACCGTTCCGCACCCGACCCTGTCGAGGACCGGAGACAGCGCCGTTTGCTTCAACAGCGAGGTGGGCCACGCTTCCACCGACCCCGAAGCGACCCACGAAGCGGCTTCGACCTCGACCCGAGGCGCTGGCCTACCGAGATAGCCGTGCCTTCCATGGCTGCGGCACCCGTGGTCTCGGTGGTACCAACGTCGATCCGACCTGTTTGGACAGATCACCTTCTTCGAGGTCCGCAGGTTTCTTCTTTGATTGTAACTTCAGAAGTACATGGCAATGATGTGCTTTCACATGTTTTCACCAGAGAGAGGAAGCAAGCGCCACACCTATAGAGTCACATGTTTCAATATGTTTCAATACCTCATTAGTTAGTTGCACACGTGATGATCCTGTTCTGTTCAGAAAAGGATCGGATTTCTGTTGATCTTTGGACCCGCCAGATCAACATGATTTGTTGGTACTCCGCCGACGGCAGTCGCGTGTCGTCCTGAGTCTGCCATGGACCGGACCGAGAGTAGACGACAAAGGGTTCCGGAACGTTTCGAAGCTCGGTGGAGTGATGTGGCCATGAGGTGCCCATTTTCAAGCCAAAGATGGAGCGGGCGGCCTTTGCTTATTGGCCAGGAGGTGAGGAAGGATGGAATAGGCGTTGATGATCTTTCTTCCTGTCCTCCAAGTCACAGTTCTGGCAGGTGGAGGGATGCTGGAAAGTGTTTACAAGGCATCCGAGGCCTGATGTGTCGCTCATCATCTTTTGAGCCTTGGGTAGATCGGAGGTTTCTCCATTTTGCTGGATGAAATCTTCAAAATGTCTTCAAAACACATCCGTCTCTTTGGGGAGGGCTATTTCATTGTCGGCTCCTGGAGCAACTGGAGAGAACCGGAGGAAATGGAGACGACCTCAGATTCGAGAGCTCCCAACAAAGGAACAGTATGGACACAAAAGAAGTCTAGATATATACTATATATATAGATATATACTCTCTACGTCGGTTCGCGTCTTCCTTGCGGGGATCCGTTCGATCCTCTGAGGTGAAGCAGAAAGACGGATCCTACACCGCTGAGGTGAGAAGCTCACCGCGGTGGACGTACTTCGTTTGAAGAAAGTCAAGGAGAAAGGATAGCACCGAATATTGTTTCTCATTGCTGTTCCAATCTTGAACCTCTTCATCTATATACATACCATTTCATATCCATAGGTTCGATTGTCCTTAGGTTCCCAAGTTCGTTCCCATGGCTTCAGTTCACTGACGGAAGAAGCACCGCGCTTCGCCCGCCTGGCGCGGTCACGACCTACGCGCCGACTCAAGTGTTGTGAGGTCACCCTGGGAGACTCCAGACAAGAGGCCGGGCGTCGGTTTGTAGTAACAAGTGCCTCGCTTCTAGTAACAAGTGCCTTACTACTAGTAACAAGAAGCTATTAGAATTAAATAAATTGACTAAAAGCTTCTTGTCACTACTATACTAGTAAGGCACTTGTTACTAGTAGCGATGCACTTGTTTCTAATAGCTTCTGGTTACTACTAGTAATACACGTGTTACTAGTAGCGATGCACTTGTTTCTAATAGCTTCTTGTCACTACTAGTAAGGCACTTGTTACTAGTTTTGATGGATTCTATCTAGATCTCAACATGGCATGCTTCGACTCCCCTTTTCCAAGTCACCACTAAAGAGACACAAGATGTCACTTAAGTATACTTAAGTCATTCTATGAAGGACAGGAGGCTTTCATTTGACTGACTACAATGCCTCTGAAAAGTGTCGTTAGTTGGTGTTGTGTTTGATGTTTGAGGCCTTTCAGATCCTTCTGGATGGAGAACCTGACAAAGTGCTTCATCCAGAAAGGCCCAGTGATGCCAAACGGGCAAACTAGAGCGACAAAAACGAGTTCGGAAGAGACCCAAAACGAGCTGAGTCGCTTTTTGTGAGATGAAAGAGAATGAAAGGGTTCCCTTGCACCCTGTAGGCCTTTTGGCACCTAATTAGTGTGATGCCTTTGATCTCCTTGATAGGCCGGATGCCGTGTCGGGCACACGGCTCTTGGGGCCGACGATGCGGTATATGTTGCACGCCCGGCAGCCCGGGTCGGATGAGGCGCCGTGGTCAGTCCAAACGCACATGGCGACGCAGAAATGGGTGAAGAGTCCGAAAAAAACCTCTCTAAAATTCTCAGCCCCATTGAGAGACTTTGATTGGAAGAAAACTGATGATGATCCGTATTAGGTCCGTCTTCATCACCGCCTATTTCACGATGTGTTTGCCCAATGCATTCTGTACCGCTTTCCTTTCCAAGTCGACCTTGCTTTGGTCTTCGACGGCACGCTGTCAACTCACTGAGGGACAGCACTTGAACTGGAACATCGACGGCCGAGAGGCGAAGGCCAGGTGAATCCGACACTGACGTTCTCTTTCCATGTGTGTTTCAATACGATGTTTGTCTGTTTGTTCCACGATGTTTTTAAGTGAAAAACGATCTTTTGGCCCATTTGGCCATACCTAGGAAGTCCAAAGGCTGCAGAATTTTTGCTTTTGCAAGTTTTTCTGCTGCCGGCATCTATTTTTGATCGCGAGCACTTTTAAGGTTTTGTTGAACTCTTCTGGAGTAAAGCAATCTTCAGGTGTTTCAAGCAAACACTGTTGCCACCCAGAAGTCATAAGACAAAGAATTAGAGGAGTTGATACAATGATTCACAACAAGTACCTAACCTAATGATAATAGCAACAATAACACAAAGTCATTGGCAAATATTGAGCAGCGCTTTCGAAGCAGCACCATGACGTGCTGATCTCTGACCCACTTTGGGTGCTCCTGGCATGAGTTGACCTGCTGGTGTGCTTGAGGGTTTGCAGGACCAGAAATTTTGAAACAACGATATTTGTTAGCAATTTAGTGGGATCAAGACTAGTTGCTATCGACTGCACTTGGGGTCTCGTGATGGCACAGCCATCGCTCGCGGAGATGTTGGATGCTGATGTTGTCATGAGACAAATTGGCAGAAACAAGGGGTGCCTGACTATGTGGGATGACCCCACAGTGGTCGGGCTTGCCAATTGCGGCCACCTGAAGTTGAACCTGAAATTGATGGAGATCACAACCGACTGGTTCTTACCACAGAGCCAGGGGCCTCAAGCAATTCCCATTGATGCCATTCGCAAACAGGCTTGGGTAAGGGAGAGCACCTATACTGGTAAACAAACCTTAGGCCGCATTGGTTTACCCATGTTTACCTCACCTGAGTAGTGTGTTATTTTTTATTTTTTAAGGATTGATCGGTTCAATGTTTGGTGGACTTGTTGGAAATGATCAATGGATGACAAGCCGCCTGCAGGTGATTGAATGGAGGAAGTTGTTTGGTTTGCCAATGGACATGGCCACCGTACACATGGACTCCTGGGGAATTCGGAAGCTCTTCAGTCATTTGCTGCGAAGATGGTTGGGTGGCGCTGACAAACCTAAAGAAACTTGGGTTTGGATTGGGAAACTTTTCTTATGCAATTCACCCCAATAAGACACTTTAGATGGAATCCATACGTTCTTTCAATCAAGAGTGAAATCAGGACCCAGCTCTCCAAGCATTGTGGGGAAAACTCGACATGGCATGGAACCCTGCTGGTGGCGTCAGGGAAGATGACGGAGATCAACATGATGGAGATGGAGATGATGGTGACGCTCGAGGGCCTGATGCTCCAGAGCACGATGCAGATGGTCCTCATGCTCCAGAGCGCGATGAAGA